TGCGATGGCTGGGTCATGTAGCCCGCATGCCCAGCCACCGCATGCCGAAACAGCTTTTGTTTGGCCGGATTGAGGGGGCTAAGCGGGCGCGGCACGGGCTAGAGAAGAGATGGAGTGATGTGGTACAGGAGGACGTGGATCTGAGTGGACTTGCCGATGACTGGTACCAGCGGTGTCAAGATCGGCCTCTGTGGAGGAGGCTCGTGAAGGATGCTACTGGGCAGTTGGAGGCAGTCGCCCTCCAACAACAACGGAGGGCGGAGGAGCGACGCTCACAACAGCGAGCGGAGCGCCGGGTGGCTAAAGCACAGCAGGTTGGCACAGTAGGGGGCACAGGTGGTGCATCAGCCAGTCATCTCAGTCAGTCGACCCGTGGCACCTGCTGGGTCTGCCCGGTGACCTCCTGCCAGCGGGCGTTCGACACTTCACGTGGCCTCAGGGTGCACATAGCCTGGCACAAGCGTCGTGGTGACGTCACCGCCACTTAGTGGCGAATGGCGGTTGTTGTTGTGTGTCTCTGTGTATGTGTGTCTGTGTGTGTCTCTGTTTGTGTGTGTGTGTCTGTGTGTATGTATGTGTATGTCTGTGTGTATGTATGTGTATGTGTCTGTGTGTGTCTCTGTGTGTGTATGTGTATGTGTGCATGTATGTGTCTGTGTGTGTATGAATGTATGTATGTGTATGTGTGTGTGTGTCTGTGTATGTGTGTGTATGTATGAATGTGTGTATGAACGTGTGTTTGAATGTGTATGTATGAATGTGTGTATGAATGTGTGTATGAATGTGTGTGTGTATGTATGTGTATATCTGTGTGTATGTGTGTGTCTGTGTGTGTGTGTCTGTGTGTATGTATGTCTGTGTGCATGTGTGTGTGTCTGAGTGTATGTGTCTGAATGTATGTAAGTGTGTGTATGTGTCTGTGTGTCTCTGTGTGTGTGTGTCTGTGTGTATGTATGTGTATGTCTGTGTGTGTGTATGAATGTATGTGTGTCTGTGTGTGTATGAATGTATGTATATGTATGTCTGTATATGTACGTGTGTGTATGTGTCTGTGCGTGTCTCTGTGTGTGTCTGTGTGTCTCTGTGTGTGTGTGTCTGAGTGTATGTGTATGTATGTGTGTGTGTATGCGTGTGTGTATGAATGTATATATGTGTATGAATGTATGTATGTGTATGAATGTGTGTATGTATGTGTGTGTCTGTGTGTCTGTGTGTGTATCTGTGTGTATGTCTGAGTGTATATGTATGTATGTGTGTATGTATGTGTGTGTCTGTGTGTGTCTCTGTGTGTATGTCTGAGTGTATGTGTATGTATGTATGTGTGTGTCTGTGTGTATGTATGTGCGTGTGTATGAATGTATGTATGTGTATGTATGTATATGTGTGTATATGTCTGTTTGTGTGTCTCTGTGTGTGTCTGTGTGTATCTGTGTGTATGTATGTGTATGTCTGTGTGTATGAATGTATTTATGAATGTGTGTCTCTGCGTGTATGTGTGTGTGTCTGAGTGTATGTATGTGTGTGTGTATGTGTCTGTGTGTGTCTCTGTGTGTGTCTCTGTGTGTGTCTGTGTGTATCTGTGTGTATGTGTATGTATGTGTATGTGTGTGTATGTATGTGTATGTGTGTATGTGTGTATGAATGTATGTCTCTGTGTGTGTATGTGTGTATGTGTATGTATGTGTATGAATGTATGTATGTGTATGTATATATGTGTGTGTCTGTGTGTCTCTGTGTATGTGTATGTATGTATGCGTATGAATGTATGTATATATGTCTATGTGTGTCTCTGTGTATGTATGAATGTATGTGTGTATGTATATGAATGTATGTATGTGTATATATGTGTATGTATGTCTCTGTGTGTGTCTGTGTGTATGTATGAATGTATGTATGTGTATGTATGTGTATGTATGTCTCTGTGTGTGTCTGTGTGTATGTATGAATGTATGTATGTGTATGAATGTATGTATGTGTATGTATGTGTATGAATGTATGTATGTGTATGTATATATGTGTCTGTGTATGTGTGTGTGTCTCTGTGTGTGTCTCTGTGTATGTATGAATGTATGTATGTGTATTTTTATGTATGTATATATATATGTGTTTGTGTACGTGTGTGTGTCTCTGTGTGTATGTGTATGAATGTATGTGTATGTATATATGTGTCTGTGTGTCTCTGTGTGTGTGTCTGTGTGTATGTATGAATGTATGTATGTGTATGTATGTATATGTATGTCTCTGTGTGTATCTCTGTGTGTGTATGTGTGTGTGTATGTGTATGTATGTGTGTGAATGTATTATGTGTATGTATATATGTGTCTATGTGTGTATCTGTGTGTGTCTCTGTGTATGTATGAATGTATGTGTGTATGTATGTGTATGTATATATGTGCCTGTGTGTGTCTCTGTGTATGTATGAATGTATGTATGTGTATGTATGTATGTGTATGAATGTATGTATGTGTATGTATGTATGTGTATGAATGTATGTATGTGT